AGGTTTCATGCCTTAGATTTAAGTCTGTTATCCATCATGAGTTGATTTTTGTGAGAGTTGAGAGGTGGGGATCCAGTTTCAATCTTCTGTATGTGGATATCCAGTTTTCTCAGCACCGCTTATTGAATAGAGATTCTTTTCCCCAATATATATTTTTTTCTGCTTTGTAGAAGATTAACTGACAATATGAGGATGGTTTTATATGTGGGATCTCTGTCCTATTCCAAAGATCTGTATCTCTGTTCTTGTGCCAGTACCATGCTGTTTTGGTTTCTATAGCCTTGTAGTAAAGTTTGAAGTCTAGCAGACTGATGCCTCCCAATTTGTTCTTTTTGCTTAAAATTGCTTTGGCTGTATGAGGTCTTCTCTGGTTTCAGATGAAGTGTAGAATTATTTTTTCTAAATCTTGAAGAATGATGGTAGTATTTCAATAGGGATTGCTAATTCTGTAGATCACTTTAGGTAGTATGGGCATTTTAACAATATTGATTCTACCAATCTATGAGCACGGTAGGGATTCCATCTGTTTACATCTTCTACAATTTCTTTTCTCAGTATTTTGTAGTTCTCCCTATATACGTCTCTCACCGCTTTTGTTAAATATATTCCTAAATATTTAACTTTCTTTGCTATTGTGAAAGGTGTTGCATCTTTGATTTGATTTTTGGCTTGACTGTTATTGGCGTATATGAATGCCACTGATTTGTGTGCATTAATTTTGTATCCTGACACTTTGCTGGATTCATTTATCAATTCCAGGAGTGTCTTGGTTGAATCCTTGGCATTTTCTATATATAATAGCATATCATAAGCAAAGAGTGAGAGTTTGACCTCTTCTACCCCCATTTGGACACCCTTAATTCCCCTCTCTTATCTGATTGCTCAGGCAAGGACTTCCATTACTGTGTTGAATAGAAGTGGAGATAGTGGACAACCTTGTCTGGTTCCTGTTCTAAGTGGGAATGCTTTCAATTTTTCACCATTCAATATGATATTGGCTATGGGTTTATTATATATGGCCTTAATAATTTTAAGGAATGTCCTATCTATGCCTATTTTGTTAAGAGTTTTTACCATAAAAGTGTGCTGGATTTTGTCAGATGCTTTTTCTACGTCTATTGAGAGAATCATATGGTCTTTGTTCTTACTTTTATTTATGTGGTGAATTGCATTTATAGATTTGTGTATGTTGAACCGGTCTTACATCTCTGGGATAAAGTCCACCTGGTCATGATGAATTATTTTTTTGATGTGCTGTTGGATTTGATTTACTAAGACTTTGTTGAGGATTGTTGCATCTATATTCATGAGGGATATTGGTCTATAGTTTTTTTTTTGTTGTGTCCTTTTCTGGCTTTGGTATTAAGGTGATATGGGCTTTGTTGAATGAGTTGGGGAGGATATCATCTTTCTCAGTGTTGCGGAATAATTTCTGCAGCATAGGTATGAGTTCTTCTTTGTAGGTTTGGTAAAATTCAGGTGTGAACCCATCTGGTCTGGGACTTTTTTTTTTGGAAGATCTTTAATTGCTGCCCCAATTTCTGTGCTTGATATTGGTCTGTTTAGGAATTCTACTTCCTCCTAATTGACCTTAGGGAGGTTGTGTGTTTTCAAGCATTTGTCTATTTCCTCCACATTATTTAGTTTTGGGCATATAGATTTTTATAGTATTCAAAGATAATGTTTTGTATTTCCATGATGTCTGATGTGACCTCTCCTTTTTCATTTCTGATTGAGTTTAAAGTCCTTTTCTTTCTTGTTCTTGTCAATCTAGCAAGAAGGCTATCAATTTTATCATTTTAAAAAACCAACTTTTGGGCCGGGAGCGGTGGCTCACGCCTGTAATCCTAGC